TCATTCTTCTTGAGTTTCCAGCTTTCCATCTGGGATCTCTTTTCCCGTCTGAAGTACAGCCTTGAGAGTATCCTTTGCTGGTAGTGAGCTCTCTCAGGTCTGTATGCCTGGAAACTCCTGGTGGAGGGATAGTTTGGGCAGTTCTGTTAATTTCCTGTGGCTACTGAGACAGAGTTGGTGACTTAAAGCAATATGTTCTTTTTGTACAGTTCTGGGGGCCGGAACCCCACAACCAGGTTCTTGGGGCTAATGTCAAGGTGTCAGATGCACTCCCTCCCGGGCTCTAAGGGAGAATCTGTTTCCTTGCCTTCACCAGCTTCTAGAGACCTTGTTTCATCGCTCCTTGCTCCATTTTCAAGGCCAGCATCATAGCATCTTCATCGAATCTCTTCTGTGTCAAATTTCCATCTGCCTCTCTCTTGTAATAACACCTGTGGCTGCATTTAAGACCCACCCAGAAAATCCAGAATGGTTTTCCCATTTGGAGACCCTTAACTTAATCACACTGGCACAGTCTTTTTGCCATATAGGTAACATTCATGGGGTTCCAGCAACTATGACCTGAATATCTTTGAGGGCCGTTCTTCTTTCTTGCATAGGACTGTATAGAATTATAGTTGGTCTGTGGTCTTTTTTGAATCCATGGTGTCTTTTAAAAGTTCTGAAAAATAACCTCAGCTATTACTTCCTCAATATTATCTCAACCCACCCCCACTTTCCTTCTCTTCTGGGACTCCAGTGAAATGTGTGTTGGACCTTTTCACTGTGTCCCCCATGTTGTAAATCCACTCTTCTGTGTGCTCCATATTTCTGCTTTTCTATGCTATATTCTGGACAACTTCTTCTGATCTAACCTCAGGTTTCTAACTCTGCCTTCTGTTGTTTTTAATCTGTTGCCAACCACTTCTGTTGGGGTTTTGATGTTACTAATTTTCCCTTTCTAGAGGTTCTGTTTGATTCTTTTCCAGATCTGTGAGGTGATTTTTTTTTAAACCATTTTTTCTTCTCTGCAGATGTCTGCAAACTTGTCGTTTACTTTTTTCATGTGGGAGGCATACATAAACTTAACAGAGCTATTTCTGAAGCCTGCCTAGGTCTGTTACTACTCTTTGCTGTTTATACTGGTTCTCTGCATTTCCCTGTGTGGATGATGATCTTTAATCTTTTGCTGGCTGTTGCCCTTAAAAAATTACTGTGGAGATGACCCGAGGCTTGGAGTAAATGTACTTTCCCCCATCTGGATGCATACAGGGCAGTTGTTTGGCAAACCAATAGAAAGCAAAAATAAGAACAGGCAGAATTAGAGATATTACAAGTTGGGGACCATTTCAGATCAAATTTGTTGTGCTATTTGTTCCTGGAGTGAAATATGTTTGATGGCAGGATTGTGGCCACATTTTCTAAGACTATTTTATCCCCCTTCCATCTCTTTTTTCCATCTTCTGCGCTGCTGGGGTACAGAACAACCTTCTTTCTATGCCTGTGGGGTTAGGGAGGAGCAGCAGGGGACAGATTGGTTCTGGTTCAGCCTAATCCTGAGAATGTGGCCTTTGGGACCCAGCTTAATGCAGGAAAAGTTTTCTTGTCTTTCCAGTGAATGTGCTCTGTGCCTCGACCTCATCACCCCTACCCCTTCAGTATCTTCAAGGCTGAAGTGACTTTGGCACACAAATAATCCTCTAGTTTCTTTGGGTTCAAGCTTTCCCCCAAAATTGGTCTGGTAGGGCTGCATGATCTTTTCAACTCCTCAGTGCTTTTAAGGTGATTTATCCAGAGTAGTTTTCAGTCCAGAGGGTTTATCTGAATAACCTACCACCTAACTCATGCTTACAGGAAACAGCTCTTACATTTTTATTGTATAAAATTATGCATTTATGTTTAGCCTTTAGGAACAACCACTGCCTTTAAGAACTTTACAGTGCAAAAAGATCAAGGGAATGTGGGACCACACGTTTTTATTTGTTTTAAGAGAGTAGTAGCAACCATATGGAAGACTGATCTGGTGTAGATTTGGAGGTGGGGTGGGGGGAAGGTGTGAGACTTGATGGATTGTCCCATTGACATGAACTTGAAGAGCCCATCTTGATTGACGCCACTTATTCTTTCCTCAAGGGTTAACTTCAATTGGTTGTTCAATAAGTGGCATTGTTGCCTTGGAAAAGTAACCACCAAGGGAAAAGCACTCTTGGCTGTTTCCCAATGACCTCAGCCTGGTCCTGAGTTGCTAAGATCCAGTCTTTTCAAGTTGGAGGCAGTTGTGAAGACACCTGGTTTTGATTGAGGCTGTAGTGGCAGCAGTAGTTAGCAGCCTCTCCCCCCTACCCCAATGCCGTGGCACTCCAACATGTGTCTGTGACAGTGCAGGCGAATTCCTGACTCTGGCCATCAATAAGGAAATATGCTTGGGCCAGGTTTCCGAGTCTAGTCTTTGGCTCACTCTCAACATCACGTTTTGGATCAAGGCTTTAAAACTTTAAATCCCAAATGTCAAGAATGAATTTTTGACCCCTTGGTCCTCCTCTCCCAAATTTGGATGGAGACCTCTGAAATTATAATTAATATGAGGAAAAGCCTATAAATTGTTGATTCAGAAAACATGGAAAGGATTTCTACTGTCTGGAAAGCACCATGCTGAGTACTGTGGAGTCTTTGCCCTCAGAATGCGGGTAATCTGGTCCCATGTAGAGAACTCAAGGATGGCCACCTAAGATGGAAACAGGCTTACAGCCCAAACCCCCTAAGGTTGGCTGTGAGAGTGGTCCATGTGTTTATCATCCCGTTACTTATGAGGTTTGATTTGGCTGATCTGGCTGGCTGCTGTTCTTTTCCTTCCCCATACCTCAGTGACTATCCTTCCCAAATCTGGCTGACACCAGTGACTGTGATTGTCCCAGCTGGAGGAGGACTATCCTTTGTTTAAGGTGTAAAGGTGGCTCTGCTGCTCCGTTTAAGACTCAGTAAAAGACAAAGTAGAGAAAGCCTGAAGACGGGAACTAATTGATCTTGTGGCCTATCACCAGGGTTCATGCAGTTGTGGTCAAAGAAACAAAAAATAATTTGTGATTTAGGCATCACAGTAGACTTAATTTCCTGGAAATCTTTTCAGAATGAATGTTGGAATTTGATTACCAACACATGGCTGGAGTGATGTGTTCTCCCTGCTAATTCTTTCAAAATTCGAGGTTCTGCAATCTTCCTACAAAAGTGAGGTTGGCACATGTACTGGTTAATGTCATCGAGAGAGCAGTTACAGGCGTCTTCAAACTACGGCCCGCAGGCCACATGCGGCCCGCAGAGGAGTCTGATCCAGCCCGCCAGGTTTTTTGGGCAGTGAGCGCAGCCGAGGTGTTACAGTAGGAATTAGTAGTTCATATAGTCCGGCCCTCCAGCTCTCTGAGGGACCGTGATCTGGTCCCCACTTTAAAAAGTTTGAGGACCCCTGGATCAGCAAACAATTGTCCTGTATGCCTTTAAGAGGAAACCAGCTTAAAAGCAGATCTGTTTCACTCTGGCTGGTGTGGCTCAGTGGTTGAGCATTGTCCCATGCACCAAGAGATCACCAGTCTGATTCCTGGTCTGGGCACATGCCTGGGTTGCAGGCATGTGCTCTATTTCCAGTAGGGTGCATGCTTGATGTTTCTCTTTCTCTTTCCCTCTGTCCCTCCCTCCCTTTTCTCTCTCTCTCAAATCAGCGCACGCACACACACACACACACACCACACACACACTAAAAAGTATATTTGTTTCCTCAAATCTTCTGCAGCATACTTTAGAGCAGCAGTCACCAACCTTTCGGACCTCAGGGACCACTGGTTGGCAGCGGCTGCCTTAGAGGGCATGCTGCCGCAGTGTCTCCAAACTGCCCCTCTCCTTCCTGGCAAGATGTCAGGCTGTTAGCTTCTAGCTCCACAACGTCCTTGTCAATGGGGATTCCTTCCTAGGTTGATTCTGAGCACAGATTCTGCCTGCTCTTATTTTTTGCTTTCTAGTGGTTTGCTATTCTCCATTCATTATCTGCGCCATTTCTCCAGCCCTGCTCTCTGGTTGCTTTGCTGAGTCATTTGATCCCAAACAAGGGTGACGTTTGTGCTCAGCTTGCTAGGAAAGCTCAGTAAAATGTGACATGGGCACGTTCCTACTTTCCTATCTTTATACTCCTCTGGTGTTTGGCCCGGGGAGTGGGGGTGATGTCATGTTTTCCTGAACATAATACTCTTGTCATTTGAGTTTTAATTGCAATAAAGAGTAAAACCAAGCTGTGGTAGACTGGGTCCTCCTGCACCTCCTCCTGCTCTTCCCCAGGGGGCATCAGAAAGCACTCATATATGCAGAGTATTAAAATACCAACTCCTTTAAAAAAATAAAATAAAATACCAACTCCTTAAACTTAGGCGAGACCCGATCCTATTACTTGCTTTGTTTTTGCACGTGGAGGAAAAGTGAGTCTGTGGTAGAGGGTGTCTCGCGCCACGTTAGAGGGTATTTTGATCTTGTACAAAAGCAGGGAAGGAAGGCAATGCAGGTGCTGGGCACAGCCCCGTTGACCGGCGAATAGAGGCGATAAAGGCAACTGGCATTCTCAGAGGAGAAACAGGACAAAGTTGGGTGTCAGCTACTCTGCTCCTATCTGGGCACCCCCACACACAGCCTCCCCGGGTGCTCTTGATGGGGCCCACGTTTTGTCATTATCTTGGTTCATGGAAAGATAAGCTGCAGCTGTCTTGGGTAGCTGGTGCCCTGTGATCTCCAACTTATGGGTAGACCCTCCTGTGAGTCATTTACTCCACAATATTGACTGAGATCCTATTTGTGCCTGGTCATTGGGCAATGTCCTAGGCATTGGGCACGGGGCAGACAAGATCCTGTTCTCATGAGTTTATATTCCAGAAGAGGGACAGGCAATAGAGCATGGAATAAACAAGGTAATTTCAGATATGATAAAGGTAGGACAAGGGGACAGAGAATGACCTTGTGACCTGCTTTAGATGTCTGAAGCAACGATGTCCAGTAGAACTTTCCGGATGCGGGAGATGTTGCCTACTGTGCTGTCCAGTTTGGTAAAAATGGCCGGTACGACTGAGGGACTGAGTTTCCAATGTTATTTAGTGGTAACTTCAATTTAAATAGCTCCATGCGCTCCATAGCTACCCATTGGTCAGTGCGGAGCTAGAGGAAGGACATTTAGCCAGAGGACAGAGGTTATGCAAAGATCCTGAGGATATGGTCACACTGAGAACCCAGCGTGGGATCTCTGTCTGGAGCCTGTGCACGGTCTTTATAGAGCAAATCTGAAAATCTTAGAAACGCTTCCTGCCTCTGTTTTGTGGGCCCCCAGAGAACCTGCAGAGGAACGAGAGTTAACCAGATGGGAGCTGAAAGCCCCTGCCCAACAAAGAACCCGCTTCCTCTCCTGGGAAGGGCTTGTTCCCACACCGTCTGACTCACACGGGCTTCCTCTGTGCAGGGCGCCGCTGGCCTGTGTGCAGAATGGCCCCCTTGTGCAGGCGGAGCCGGTTCATTCTGGGAGCAAATCCTGTCTTTGTTCTGGCCTCGCATCTTCCGGGAACAAGACGCTGGAACCCCCACCATTGCTTTTTTAGGGGGTCTTGCAGCAAATACTTCTTTTTTTTGTTGATTTTTTACAGAGAGAAAGAGAGAGGGATAGAGAGCTAGAAACAACAATGAGAGAGAAACATCAATCAGCTGCCTCTTGCACACCGCACTGCGGATGTGCCCGCAACCAAGGTACATGCCCTTGACCGGAATTGAACTTGGGACCTTTCAGTCCACAGACCGACGCTCTATCCACTGAGCAACACTGGTTTTGGCAGCAAATACTTCTTACTGCCGCGCATTCATCCCAGGGTCGGAGACCTCATCTTTTCTGGCTTACCTCTTCTCGCCCACATTAAGGATGGCAGAGCTGGCCCTGGTGAGAAAGAAAAACTGGGCTTTAGAGATCGTCTCCCTGTGAGTTGCCACTTCCATGGAAAGAGTTAGGAAAGAAAAGAGGAGAAGGGAGGAGGGGAGCGAAGAGGAAAGTTTCCAGAAGCGTTTCCAGCGGCGTCCTCAGAGCCACACGTGCTCTGGGATCCCACAGGCTGCGGGAGGCCTCTGCCCTGCTGGGCCAAGAAGCGGGCTATTCCAGGCAGCCAGTGGCTGATGTGGCCGTGGCAGCGTGTCCATCCCGTGTGGGTGGCGATTCAGCTCCAGCAAGATTCCCAGCTGAAAACAGGCAGGCGGCGGCCTCTCCCGGCTCCGGGTGCTGGAGATTAGATAGAGGAGGCCCCGCCACACAGTCTGATCCTGGGCGAACCCGGATTAGTCATTGGTTACCGCTCTCCTGGCACTTGCATACTCCAAAGAAAACACAATTACCTAGCACCACTCCCCAAAATATACAAAACTGAGCCAACAAGGATCTCAGTGGTAAAACTGGAGACCAAGCCCCAAACCCACTTCTGAGGGCTGAGCAGTGGTTCTGCCTCTACCCCCGCCCCCCTCGGGTCCTGCCTTACTGTCTGCAATTATCTCAGAGCTCCTCCTCCCCTCCCCAGACCAGCAGCAGCTTGGGGTGGACAGGCAAGGGGAAGGGAAGAGGCTGTGGACTTTGAACTGTGGCGGGTACAAACACTGTCTTGATGCTGATGATCTTTTTGTTGTTGTTGTTAATCCTCACATGAGGATATTTTCCCATTGATCTTTTAGTAAGAATGGAAGAGAGAGGCAAAGACAGAGAGAAACATCGATGTGAGAGAAACACATCGATTGGCTGCCTCCTACACGCTGGGGTGGAGCCTGCAACCAAGTTACCTGCCCCTGACTGGAATTGAACTTGGGACCCTTTGGTCCTCAGGCCGGCGCTCCATCCACTGAACCAAACAGCTAGGGTGATGCTGAGGATCTTGAACTCTCTGCTGAGAAGTCTGCTGTCATAAAATGAACCGTCGTTCACCCCTGATCCACATGCTGGCTATTCCTTTCTAGAAGATAAGGTGAAAACCCACAGGGGTCATGAGCGCTGGTCTCCACGGGAAAGCAAGCGTGGCTGTGCCTTCTGAGGGGGCCTCCGTTCTCCATCTGCCCTGTGTGTGCTTCTCCGGAGAGAGGTGCCTGCCATGGGAAAGAGGCTGTGAGCTTCATCGGACGGTCCTGATAAGCTAGCCGGGGCAGTATTAGCCCAATTGAATTCATTTGTCTCTTAAAAATACTTTTTTTTTCCTTCCCACTGAAAAATAAGCATGCTTCCTACAGAAATGTTGGGACATTCACAAAAGGAGGAAAACAATGACCTAAGATTCTGCCATCTAAACACAGTTGCCTCTGTTAGCATTTTGGTGTGTTCTCCAATAGTATATTTTTCCCCCACTAAGTTTTATTTTGCTTTTTACATGTCTATAACTATATACAAGGTTTCCCCCCAAAAATATATGCACACTTTAACGATGATTCTATTACCTTTTGAAAATGAGATGTATTTTAATAAACACTGCCTTTATAAGGATTTAAAGTGTGTATACATTTTTTGGGGGGACACCCTGTATATCGTATGTGACTTTGTGCACTGATTTTTAATTTAACCATTAAATAGCAAGTGGGAAGTAAGCATTGCTTTGGATGGCCATGTGGTAGTGCCCTTAAGTTCCTATGTATGTGGCACTTGGGTATCTTGAGCCCCAAGAACTCGGTAATTAACCATCACACAGTGAGTTGGCGAGGAGGCCAGACACAGTGGAGTGTTCCTTACGCTCGCTGGTCCTGAGCCTTTCCCTGCCTGCATCCCTCACACATGGGCTGCATACCCTCTGCTGGTGTGACTCCTTATGTTACTGTGTGTCACCCCTCTCCCACCTCCCCATGAGGATCGCTACATTACCAGCTTTGGGACAGCTCCCCAGGAGTGGAGGCCAGATTGCTCCCTTCCATCGTGTCACTTCAAGAAACTCGGTAGCATAATCAGTAGCAGTATTTGTTTGGGCTTGCCTCTGGCTTCTCCCAAACCAAGTGCCACCCCCAAGTTCCCATTGCCTTGTGCCCATGCTAGCTCCATGCAGAAGGGATTAGCCAGGGGAAACCGGCAGGCGTGATGGCCTGCAGGTGGCCTTGGGCCGTGGTGCTCTGGGAGCGGGAGGATGAATACCGTGGCTCCAGTCCCTCCTCTCTCTCCCTCAGAGTTCTTCCCTCCCATTGGGGACTGGCTTCCTGGGCACGTGTGCACCCAGGCCTCTGCGGAGGAGGGTCCTGTGCTTGGTTTAATGCTCTGCTGTTGCCATCTTGACATTTTTAAGACTTTTTAAAATTTTCACGACCCTACATTTTCCTTTCGCACGGGGCCCCACACATTCAGCAGCCTGGTTCCACGTGGAGCACCCCTCCCCTGCAGCACTCACCTGGTCCCTCTTTCACTTCCGCTGTGACTCACCCTGCACCGGGGAGGTGCTTTCGTAGAAGAAAGGTCTTTGGGATCAAACAGACTTCGTTGCAAAGGGCCGCGTACTGTCTCTGGGACTTGGGATAACTGATCCAGTCGTTTGGAGCCTCGGGGATTCTCACCTGGGAAGTGGGAATAGTGATCTTAACTTCTTAAGACTTTTGAAGGTCAAGAGAATGTATGCAAGGGTAGCATAGTGCCTTGCGTATCCACACTCAATATTACCTTTTGGCCCTCCTTCCCGGGCATCGTATACAGTGGATGCTCTGTAGGCACTTATTATATTTCAGTTTCTAATGGTTAGTTTGTGCCTCTTCATTTCCAACTGGGGCCAGGGTGTGTGTTCTAATCTCTGAGTAAGAGCGAGTACCAGGCCGTTGAGGGGCTCATTCTAGGCCCTGACTTTTTTGGGAATCGCAGGCCAGGCCATGTATCAGGGCACCTTTTTTCTTAATAATTAAGTTCACCACCTGTGTATCACTCTATGGAGCTCACGATAGCATATCCTCAGCCAGCGCTGACTACACCAGGCACTGGGTTATTGGGCACATCCTTCTTCTATAATTGTAAAGGTAGGCATGGTCTTTACCCCATTTCGTGTGGCCAATTTCAGCTGTCTGGCTCCAGAGCCTGTATTCTTAACCACTACATACTTCCCCTTTGTGGGTAAGCGGGAGCTGAGCCTTAGATACGGGTTTGGGGAGTCCTGGCCAGTGTGGCTCAGTTGGAGTATCATCCTGTTCACCATAAGGCTGCAGGCTCATTTCCCAGTTCGGGCATGAGTGGAAGACAACCAATAGATTTCCCTCTCACATCGATGTTTCTCTCTTACTCTCTCTCTCTCCCCCCTTACCGTCTCTCTAAAAATCAATGTGTATTCTCTGGTGAGGATTAAACAAAAAAAAGATATGGGTTTGGGAAGATGAGTATGGAGGAGCACTGTTTAGTAAACTATTATTTTAAAATGTATTTCATTCCCCCCCTTCCCTTCGGCAGTTATCTTGTTCTATGTATATACCCTGTTTTTCTGGAAATAAGACAGTGTCTTATATTAATTTTTGCTCCCAAAGATGCGCTAGGTCTTATTTTCAGGGGATGTCTTATTTTTCCATGAAGAAGAATACGGTACACACTTATTGTTAAATGAAAATAAAGGAAATTTAATACCTGTATATAGAATCGTAGTACGGTAGTTGTCAACACAAACCAGACAAACTGTGAATCCTACAGTATCGAGAATTTACTCAGTTATTCAATGACAATCATGTCATCATCTTCTGGAACATCATCATAACAATCCAATTCCTGAATTTCCTGGTGAATTTCTTGTGACTCCATTTCTTTCAGAATCAGTGGACCAAATCTCTCATGTTTAGCAATAGCATTCTGAGACAGAGCCTAGGGGGGCCTTATTTTCAGGGGGGATACCTTATATTTCACTCAGAAGGAAACCTGTAAGTAGGTCTTATTTTCGGGGAAACACGGTAGGGGTCTGTTCTGTTGTATGTGTTTTTTCTTCCTGACATTTCTTCCATATGTAAGTGAAATTATGGAGTGTTTGCCTTTCTCTTCCTGACATTTCATTTAATAGAATACTCTCTAGATCAGTGGTTCTCAAACTTTCTAATGCTATGACCCTTTAATACAGCTCCTCATGTTGTGGTGACCCCCAACCATAAAATTATTTTTGTTGCTACTTCATAACTGTAATTTTGCTACTGTTATGAATCATAATGTAAATATCTGTGTTTTCCAATGGTCTTAGGCTCTATAGCAGCTCTCACTCAACCTGTGGGTCAGGTTGAGAACCTCTAGTAGGGTTTATTTCTTTGTCTTGTCTGATTGCTGTGGCTAGGACTTCCAATACTGTGTTGAATAGAAGTGGTGATAGTGAGCATCCTTGTTTGTTCTTGGAGGAGAAATCGTTTAATTTTTCATCATTGAGTATGATATAGCTGAGGGTTTGTCATATATAGCTTTATTTTGTTAAGGTATGTTCCCTCTAGACCCACTTTTGTTGAGCGTTTTTATCATGAAAGGATGTAGATTTTGTCAAATGCTTTTTTTGCATCTATTGATATATGATCAATATGATTTTTGTCTTTCATTTTGTTATCGTGATATATCACATCAATTGATTTGTGGATGTTGTACCATTCTGGTATCCCTGGAATAAACCACTTGGTCATGGCATATAATCCCTTCAATGTTTTGTTGAGTCTGTTTGCTAATATTTTGTTGAGCATTTTTACATCTGTGTTCATCAAGAATATTGGCCTACATTTTCTTATTCTGTGATGTCTGTTTTGTTTTGGTGTTAGGGTAATGCTGGCTTCTAGAATGAGTTTGGAAGCATTCCTTCCTCGTCAGTATTTTTTGGAATAGTTTAAGAAGGATAGTTATTAATTTTTCTTTAAATGTTTGCTAAATTCCACCTGTGAAGCTGTCTGGTTCTGAACTTTTTTTTTTTCCAGAGTCTTTCTTTTTATTTTTTATTACTGCTTCACTATCATTGTTAGTAATAAGTCTGTTTAGATTT